AAGTCGTTTTCGGGAAGAAAAAAGTGGGTCAGAACGGCAGAAAAGATCAAAACAATCTGCACGCTCGTTAAGAATGACCCAAAAAAGTCCCATCGACGCCTCGCGCAAGAAGCAGGGTGCAGCAGCTCCACAGCGCAAAGGATCCTCAGAAAGGACCTTCAGCTGTACCCATACAGGCTTGCTGTGACAAACAAGCTGACAGAAGCCGACAAGATCGCCCGTTCTGCATTCTGTGAATGGTTTTTACAGAAGTGCAGAGAAACAGTGGGATTTCTGGAGAGCGGTTTACCGACGAGGCCCATTTTTACCTTGACGGCAGAGTCAACTCACAGAACAACAGGATCTGGAGCGAGAAGGCCCCAGACGAGGTCGCAGAACGTCAGCTGCACCCGCCACGATGCACTGCGTGGTGCGCTGTGAGCAACACGGGCATTATCGGCCCAATCTGGATCGAAGATGACGCGGGCGAGGTCCTCACAGTGACGGCGGAGCGCTATCTGCAGGTGCTCAAGAAGTTCTGGACTGCGCTTTAGCGGAAGTGTGTGGACACCATCAACGAGCAGTGGCTGCAGCAGGATGGTGCCCCCGCTCATGCAGCCAATGTGACCCTCAAGTGGCTGCAGGAACGCTTCGGAGGGCGGCTCATCTCCCGAGGCACCCCCACCAGATGGCCACCGAGGTCTCCGGACCTCACGCCGGCGGACTTCTACCTCTGGGGCCATGTCAAGGAAAGAGCCTACAAGAGTGAACCCCGAGACATCCCCGAGCTGAAGGCTGCGGTCCGCGTGTGCGTGAGGGCGGTGACGCCCCAGGAGTGCCGCCGAGTTCTGGAAGCAGTGCGCCGTCGGGCCGAACTCTGTTTGGCCAGAAGTGGTGGTCACTTCGAGCACCTGCTCTAGGTTCCGGGAAGGGGGTCAGATAGTGATTATTGGCGATGGATGTGAATTTCCGATGATGACTGATCAGTTGTGGCCTATGACGATGTCTGTACGTCAATAAACATGAGAGCTATAGGGGAAATAAATGTGTCAGCATTTTCAGAAACACCCTGTATACGGCGAACTAAAGCTCGAGAGAGATTTACGTAGAACTCGACACGCACCCCCAATGGCTACCTAATGCCAATGGTAGGCTGATTTTTATGGCCAAGACAGTTCCCAAAATCACACCTGAAGATCTTCTTGTGATTTGCGGCGGCAGCCGTCTGTCATTCCCATTTCAGCATCGTGAGATTTGTTCCTGGGTGTCGGAATGAAACAGAGCTGGAACATACCACTGCTGGACCGCCCGCTGCCGTTGCGTGGTCGTGGAGTTTGTCCAATGTCCGAGAGCTCTCCCCGATCCACCGACGGCCGGTACTATCTGTCTCGTGGCCGCGGTGGACGCTCTCTCCCTGCCAACTGTTCTGACCGTGTGTCACTGTGCTGCCGACCCAGAATGGATCGCCGCAGGCCACGAGAGAGCTACCGTCGCCCCGACCGTTTCACGGCCCCGGGATGGAGGCGGCGATTACGAGTTTTACCGAGATGATCAGATGGTGCTGATGTGATGATTTCACTCTTCTTGGTGTACTTTCTGGCGTGATCCATTTCTGCAGTAGATTGAGCCTTTGTCCACCCTTTGGTGTTGTTTAGCACAATTTTACCCTTATCATTTGTTTCGAGAAGGCGTTAGGCTCATAATTTTGTTGATGCTTACACTTATGCTGAGCATGTAGCAGTAGCGGCGGAGCACCTTCAGTTAAGGGGGGGGGGGGCACTGCCGACTTTTGCTCCCATTCTTTCTATGCAACGCCCATAGGGCTAATGTTAAAATGCCAAAATCAAAGGGGGGCACGGTGCCCCGGTGCCCTCCCCGTTCCGCCGCCTATGGCATGTCGGATTTTGATAAGTTTTCTTATTGTTCTGCCAAACATATTGTTCCGCCATGTCAATTTGTAAAGGTGAATTATAAATTAACTAAATATCTTTTTTAAAGGGACCCTCCCACCTTAACATTAGTTTTGAGTTGAGATAGCCAAATTGGTGGCCATGGCCTGAAAATACCGGTTTGGGCATTCACAACATCGAAAAATGCTTTAATTCGGAGATATGAAATTTCAAACTTGCAGTTTTCGGATTCTAAGGGGCTAATGCATTGGTATGCCCCCTTAGAATTTGTGACGTCAGCGGAGATCTAACGATTTTTAAATCTTTTACTAAAACGTTTGGCAGCACGCGGTGGTATATGCTGCTTTGCGCGCAACAAATGCCGCACTTTCAAATAAAGTCGCTAGGAACAGCGGAGATCCCAAAAAGTAAACAAAAGTAAAAGTCTAATATCTTGAAAACCGGTGAATATTTTTCGATGAAATTTGGTAGATATTCATTTTTGCTCTTTCTGAACCGAGCGACATCACTTTCATGCCAATTCATTAACTTTTTTGAAGGTGGGAGGGTCCCTTTAAGGAAGTCTCCTGAAAAAAAAAACTATTTGTTTCCTTAGCACATTTGAGATTTGCAAGGTCGAAGCCCATTGTCGGTAGCCGTGAGCACTGACGTGCTTTTTCATAAAGAACGGGATAATCAGTCTTGTTAAAAATTTTACTTAGATAATTATTTTCGACAACGCCATCAGACATTTACAGAGAAAGAATCAACGAACTGAAACTGAGAAGCCCAAAAGTTTTTGAAACTTTACTGGTGTCTGCTGAAGGAATTTGTGGATCTTGTGAAGTTTTCTCATTTGATCATCACGGTCACTTCACAAAGAGAGGATGTGGCGCATTGTGAAGCTCTTTTAGCCTAGAGTTCCCCGTGGTTCTGAAACTTGTTAGCTCTGTGAAAAAGGACTGCCTCATCTCATGAGCCCCCAGTCTCTACGTGACCCTGGAGACGACCTGCGCCATTTGTGTCACCAAGTTTTCGAAATATTAGTGCCGAACTCGGCGAGATAATCATCAACTGACCTTGTCCTGGCCGGTCGGCGTGGTCCACCTATGTATTCCTCTGCCGCAAAACTCAGCTCTGGGGCCACCCATGGTATCTCCCAGATCACTCGGATCGGTAGGTCGCCGCCAATCGCCAAGACGTGCCCATTGTAGGCGACAAACGGCGCATAATGCGGCAAATGCGCCGATCGACGGTCCGCGGCGCGCGTGGCACGCGGCGCTCGCAGCCGGGCGACCGTGAATGGTGGGCCGATCATGTCAGAGGACGCCTGTCCTCCAAGTTATCTTTTGGTAGGCGGCACACACCGGCCAGCGGCACGTGGGCCGAACGCAGAATATAAAGATTGTGGAAAATGCCGAGAATTTTACACATTTTACGGCCTTGCATTTTACCAAGGCGCATTTTACATATTTTGGGAATTGTGAGAGGTTTGATCGCAGGTAGGTAGGTATGTGAAAGGTGAGGCGTTTCTGGTTTCGGTTCACCAGCTGCAAATGCTTGAAATGATTTTCGTGTTTGAATTGTGAGTGTGCACGTGATGTGCATTGTGCATAGTTTTTGTCAGCTGTTTGGTTTGGGCGTAGTAATATCGATGTTTGCTTTGTCGGTAGGTAAGTGCCTACCTAAGCGACTTAGCAGACAATAACCGATACTGCAGTGTAAAAACAATAGTCGGAATGCATGCTTAAAAAAAGTTACATGTGTTTGGATGCATCCAACGACAACCGCATTTTCTGGGCATTGTTAGTCCATGCACCTATGCCTATAGGTACACCAGGATTAAAGGAAGGGTGCCACCTTCCGAAATTTTTGTTCTATGAATCTATTTTACTTATTTGAATTTTTAGACGTGGTTAGCGCGTCCACAATATACAAAAAACCGAAACATTGCATTTAATACATTGGCCAAAAAAAAAAGATCGTTGTTTTTATCACCACTACAACTCAAGGTCGTTTGATGTGGCAGCTAGGACGGCTGGCATATCCTGTTGTCATGGCAACATATCATTCTGCCATTTGCATTGATGGCGCAACTGAGACAAAAAGATGAACAAATAAAAAGGAAGAAGATAACATGATTTGAACTATGTAAGTTGTAGGTAACCAAGTAGGTAACTGTTGGCCATATTTCATCATCAAATAAGAACATCAAATAAGTCGAGTAAAGGTTTTTCCTTTACAATGCTTAAGAGATCTATGGAACCCTTCACCCTTCATGCAACTGACTAGAAAAACTTCCCAATTGAAATTTTAAAACTTAAGTGTACACCATAAAGAAAAAATATACCCTTTCAAAATGATAAAACATGCTTCAAAAGTATAACTTTTATACATACCTTTGCTGATTTCATGTTTTATAAAATACCCTTAACACGACGAGGAAATAGTGCTGAAGATTTTTGCCTGCCCGAATGCTGGCAGCAAAACTCGCAAATGATAACTTCACGTGCGGATTCAATGCTGACCGTCTCGAGCATAGGTAAGTGAAGCCGGTTTTTAGGTTCATGTGAGGCTAATCTTGTAAAAACTGCGTTGTGTCCAAAAGGTGGCACCCTTCCTTTAAGGGGTGAATATTTATACTACGCAGCCAGTGGTGCCAAGATTGTTCTATTCTAGGAATAAGGGAACCTGGCTGACTACGATTTGATGCTCCACTTGGTAACTACACCATTGCACTGTATCGCATAAATATACGTCGTTACATGATGAATCAAGATTCAGCATGCATTGTTTTCGACCATTTTTGTTCAGAATACGTCCCTATCGGACATATCACTAACACCTGAGCAAACACGTTCAAATGTACACATGTGCTTTGTGCAGACATACCAGGTAAGTACTTAGCTCTTGTAATTACATCGTCTCTGATGCACATTTGCACTTCCCTATTTCCTTATCACATTAGCCCATCGCCTGATATTCCACCGTCTTGGTCGACTACCTAAAGGGTAGTCGCTTTAGGGTAGTCGCGAGTATTAGATGTGCGCGTTCGGTGGCTTCACTTAGACGATGCAGGTGGTTATTCAGGTGTTTCCCAGAATAAGTAAGCTAGATAACTTTATATACAAATGTTCCTATATAATGCATGTATTACTATCATTAAATATTTTCACATTAGCATAAGAACGGTTGACAAAATACATATTTCGTTCCTTGTATAGAGCTAGCTAAATGATTGTTTAACTTAGCCATAGAGTAGCAGAATCAATGGTGCAAATGTCAATACAAAATGCTATATTGAACAAATCTAATTAACATTGTGCTTGACGTTCAGGTGAAGACGAAAATGAATTATATCTTTCAATACACGATAACACACATGTCCTGGAAGACCACCGTTTCCTGTAACTACCCTCTTGTTCTAACGACAGTCACATTCAGCGTTGACTAGAGCCGCGGTGGCCTCTTCACAAACTTCCCGTATGACACGTGACCCACGCCCTGGAACAGACCGAAGTTGTCAGTTTTAGCGCCAGCTGGTAAATGCGGGTAAACATCTTCATCGTGACAATGAATCCAGTGCTTTGGCGTGTTTTTTCACTCTTTGAAGGCTTACTATGGCATTGGTTTGGGAAAAAATCAACAAATTCATTTAAGGAAAGTACTATAAAGCGCTTTTATTGAAGCTAGGCTTATTGAAGGCTGGTTGTTATTGCGCATAAAAGACGTTCGGAACCACTAATTTCTAAAAATGTATATATGATTTGGCACACACTACATATGCACATAACTTCATAGTTTTTGAAAATAGGGATATTTTTGCTTGCCATTGAAACGACTAAAGTAAGGTGACAGCTAAGAAACCATTCTGTTCTGGCAAACATCAAAGCTTTTCAGTGTCCAGGCACAAAACTAACCTTAAAGGCTGGTGGGTGCGTCTAGGTGGGAAGTCGTAGACTGATTCCGAGACTCCAGAGCAAACAGAGGCCCGTCAGGAACCCGAGGGGAGATACTGCACTGGATGAACCTGCAGGGTGCGCAGCAAGCCGTCAACATGGGAGAGATGCAATGCAACTATGGCTTTGCTTGCGTGAATGAACCAACAAGTAAATCATTTCTGAATTTTAGAATTGTGGATTCAGTGGCATCAGTGGATCAGGACTCAGTGGTTGATGCACTTTAGCAAATGGTTCTTAAGAAAATCATGTTTTTATTAAAAAATATATGCGATGTATAAATCAAAGTAACAAAGGCCATATCTATGACAATCAGTAAGTACTTGACTATCCTGTGTCTCAAGCACATACAACTTACCACTTAGACTGTATCTGCCTGGTTCTGAAAAGAAAGAAAAAATGATTAAATATTGCCCGTCATTTATAATTGTCATCATTTGTTTCCGTCTTTGGGGAATCAAACCTCGTAAGATGATCTGGAGGAAACGTTTTTGAACATTACTGAGGTGGTTTTTAACGTACCTAAGCAGCGCCCTTCAACAATTGACACATTAAGAATGATAAAATGCATCGTGGCAGCGGCGAGGCTCTCTGCACGTGCACAACCAGTCCGTATCTTTTAAACAGGACCGAAATTAATTGGTCCTGTCCTATCATAGCTTATCTACCCATCAACACTGAAGGTCGAGGTTCCGCGCCACTGATGCACGTGCACGCGTCGAGAAACAGACATGCACGTGCAGAGTGTGCGCACGTGCGGAGAGGTGCGTCTTTGCGCGACGCTGACCACGCCCCACTTGCCTGGTGCCGATGGTGCTCCGCGAACTGAGGCCAGCGACTGTGGTGCAGTGCCTGTGTGCACAGAGAAACAACACCAACGCGACCGGTGAGCTTTTTGTGCACGTGCCAGGCTGTGATGGTGCGGCCGCCGGCGCGCGCGGCTAGCCGCGACCGCTCCAGTTCATTAGACCGGTGCACAAGAAAGCCTGTCGCGGTGGCTAAGAGCATTCCGCTGTGATTGGTGCAGAGTAATTAAGATGGGTGATGAGACACTCAGTGTGAGATGCAGTGATGAGACACTGGGAGAGGGGTATTGGACTGGAATGACCGTGACATGAAGTGCTAGCAAAAAGTGATCGATCTCATGCAAGTGTGCGTGCTTTCTCTGCGTTTTCTCGCCAGTGAATGGTGATGTTATATTCTTGTTGAAACAGGTCATACTCAAAGAAATTCTCCTACGAATATTAGGCTAATAAAAAGATAACCTAAGTATCTGGCAACAAGACCCAGAAACGGCAGCTGAAAACTAAGATTCCAGCTAATTTTACTAATGTTAAGGCCACTATGAACACGGCGCCACGGTGCCCTTCTGTTGTGGGCCCCGGTGCTCATATTCTGAGGCTAGCGAAATTGCAATGCCCTCTCCCCTGAGGTCAGTACCCGGTGCACCTGTCTCTACATTCCATCGTGTTGGTTAGTGACCGCAATTGGGACCACCAGCGCCCCTCGGAACCCGCTGCACCGGTGTGGGAACCCCGGTCAGTGCCCGAAATCGTGGCTCCCTGGGACAGGGAGAGTGCTGCAGCGGACTGACATGACTGCCGCCCGTCACCCGGCGAGGGGACCCGGAGCTCGGACTGGGAGGGGAGGGGAGGGGGCTACGGCTGGGAAAGGAGCTGTACCCGGAGCTGGGAGAGGAAAGGTGGCAGTCACCGTCGAATCTTATAGCTCGGGTTTGGGAGGTGGAAGCCGTGTTGAAGGTGAAGGATTGCGAGCAACCCTGATATCGGCCAACCGCCTCGGAAAAAAGGAACGAAATAATGCGCGAATACGTGATTGAATGTCCCTTACACCATACTGTCCTGTGATTTGATCTATTTCATCAGCTGATAAACAAATTCAGAATATCCCTCGTCACCTCTCTTCCCGAACCACGCACATCTCTGCGCTGACGGTCTCTCGTGACCCGTCTCGTTGTCCCCGCATTGATGGCGTTGATCTGTCCCGTATCTCGTGACGATCAGCGCGCCCCGCCCTCAGAGCGCACATCGGACGTGCGACAGGACATTTGACCTCAGTGGTCCGCGTGCGGCCGAGCCAGTGACCTTGGTCGGCGTGATTCAGGGCGGATCGCGGACTCTGCCCTCTCACAGCGGGATTTAATTGTGCACGTCAGCCGAACGGTGTAGCGGTGTCACTACGTTGCCCGGTGTGGGTTTGTGGTGCTATGCGCATTGCGCATCGCCTTTTGCGGTGGTATTCAGGCTCTGTAGGCAATTAGTCGAATGGGCGCAAACTTTTGTGATAATCGTGGTGTGGCGTGATGTTGTAATTGGCATCGCAGTGCTAGTTACACGTAGCGTTCTTATGCACGTGTAAATAAGTAATAACTACTTGATAATGTGCATATTGCTGTTTATTAGATAAGGGTCACATGTCAAACCTTTGTTTAGTGTAAAACAGCAAATTTATCAAAGGAAACCCATGCTTGCAATAATAGGAAGTGATAAACACAGTCTGTTTAGGCTTGTTTACACAACCTAATATTTGTCGCAGCCGACCATGACTAATCGGACACTTCCTTAAGCTTATGTGATTTCCCTTAATCTTTCCTTCTAAGCTCAGGTAAATGACGGCCCGCATCGTCTATACCGTCAACCGTGCTCTGTGTTGTGTCCACCCACCGTGGAAGTACATGATCCTCCTGCTGCGCCGGTAGTCTGTGTCGGGCAGCGTGAGCACGCACTCGATGACCGCCTCCGGGGGCAGGTGCCGGTCCTCCTCGAGTTTCTGCACGCGCACCGTGTACGCGCCGTCCTTCCACGACTTCTCCACGCGCAGACCGCGCATCCGCCGCCTGAGTAATGAATGGGGAGAGGTCAAACAGTGGGGCGTGTGGGAAGAGGTGTGAACGTCTTTTGTGGTTGAACCAGTGAATTGGCCTACACGAATCTCGACGTGACAAACTGTGAAGTAACCGAGGAAGAACATATTGATATTGACATCGTTTGTGGCTGGAGATAAAGTCTGTTTGTAGACAAGATAGAGACTTAAAGTGAAGCCGGTATGACCTGATGCTTCTGTGATGCAAAACGTCTGTTTTATTTTCACTCTTTTTTTGTTCCTTAAAGGAAGACTGCCACCTTCAAAAAGTTTTCTCAGATCGGCCTATGATTTATTCCCTGGACAAAACAAAATTTTAGAATTCACCTGACAAAGTATCATCACGTGAATCGCGAAAAAAATTGTCGATTATCATACAATTATCAATCGGTTAATGTCTAGCGACAATGTTTACACATCACTAGACTTCAAGGTCATAAGATTATTACATTTTATTTGGAAAAGTAAGGTATTTTATGATTTACTAATATATGATTTCATAAGAAATTGGCCATGTTTAATTTATTTTGCATTTAAGTTCGTAAAACATTTAAAAATCATGGCTCATTTGGAATGGGTCTGGCCCATGTTAAACCCCATTTCCCACACTTTTTTGGAAAAAATGAACTACTGAATATATTTTATTTTGACACTCCAAAATTCTTCTCTGATCTCGAAACAATCAAAGTTTTGACATATATTTACCAAAAGATAAGAAAATTCATGTTTCAAAGTTATCGATAAACAGTAGAGATGTCGGTTTTCTTGGACTAAAAAAATGGCATCAAACTGAACTTTGGTCTCCGATTTCTCGCAAACGGGTTCGAATTTCGGAAAACCGACTTCAGTCTGGGACATAGGTGGCTCAGCTCTAGTGAAAACCGTTTTGTGGAAAAAAGGTGGCAGTCTACCTTTCATTTTTTCCTGCGGCTATGCTTTCTCTCGCACCACTATCCTTCCTCTGCCTATCGTCGCCCACCTGTTTCTCCGTTTGCCATTCCGTGATAAATCTGGAGAAATGGGCGGCTTGTGCCAGCGCGTTCCACAAAACACAGCAATCATCTCGATAAGGCCGCCGTCGGCCAGCGGCTCATCACCGTGGTCACGCAGTGATATTAACGACTGATGCTCTAGCTTCTTCCACTTTCTCTGCGTGTTTCCTCGGGACATGACTAAGCGTCTCTGTAGATCGCGCCCTCATGATGAAAGTGTTTCAATTAACCTAACGCATTTCCGGAATGCGCACATCAATTCAAACAGCCAAAGGAGCATAACCACTCAAATCTAGACGACGAGCATTGCTCAATTTGTCCATGTCACAGCATTGGCGTAAAATTCTCAAGCTGTGCCCCAACCATGAGCGTTTCTCGTTGCGTCAGCAGCCCACGCGTCAAACGACGTTCAAAGCCGAGTGGACGCCCTGTCACATCTCTGACCTTACCAAGACCGCATAGGTCACCACACGGCCAAACACGGCGGCTTCGTCCTTGCGTCAGGAGCAGGTCACTGGCGTTACTCCACAGTAAGTGGGAGGCACGAGCTGCGGCGCTTTCGTGCGGCGTGAAATTATTCGGAATCGGCCACCCGAAGCCTCAAATCACCTGGCCAGCGATCAGACGGGTCATTAAAAAGCGCTGATGTCCCATCCTGAAGAGCTGCTTCCAGAGGCGTCCCGGTTTGCCCAAGGGTGTGTGACACCACCTGTCTTATTTGGCACACACAGGCGTCAAAGAGCTTAGGGCTTCTGTGCTGACGCTAATCCCCAGCGCTATACTGCTTTGCATGTTACAAGAGAGCGATTTTGTATTTGGACAATGTTGGATTGCTTTGGCGCGTTGTGATCTCAGCGGCTCGGCTCAGTTTCCGTCGCTCCCGGACCTCGCGGGGGATTACGGCGATGGCCGGGCATTACCAACTTGTAATTGTCTTATATTGCTCTAGCATCCGCTTACAGTTGAGTTCCATTGCATTCGCGTTTAATGTAATCAGCGTCGGCGGTGTGAAGCGCAAGCTGACACTGATTTGGATAAACATGCATTATTCAAGTTTCCTGCAGGATCTAAAACATCACTTACGCGATCATAAACCGGCACTTGACCCTCAAGGACGCCTTTGAATTCTTAAAACTTGTCCGGAGTAATATCTTCTCCGCGGAAAAACGGTTCCTAAGCTGTCAGAAGCCTTCCGCTCCGCCTGCGACCGGCCCCCGCTAATATTAGATCTCTGTCGCCTTCGGACACATCCCATCTCCGGAGAGGCGAAATTAATCCCATCGCCGACCTCTTCACCGAGACTCCCGCTGCCCGGAGATTCGTGAGCTTCCTCACCACCGCACGTGCGCCCGAGGACGTGTCAGACGGGCCGATCGGTATCAAATCGAGGCGACAAGCGCGGCCGGAGAGCTGACACGGCTCCCCTTTTTCGGCGCCTAGTATCAAGGCGAACATCGGGTAATTACGCGAGCGGCACCCTGGGCTGCCGGACCCCCGCCGGAGAGCGCCCGATGAAAGGCCGAGTGGCGCTGATGAACGCTGATGAGGCGCGCGCTGAATGCTCGAGGTGCTGACGGCGAGCTGACGAGACAGGCTCAACCGCGAACTGAGCACTCTTGTGGTTCTTGTCGGTGACACCGATATATAAAGGAGAGCCTGAATTTGCCAAGTGTCAGAACTGGCTGGGCTGACATTGACGCCCGATATTATCCAATGCAGCTAGCAACAAGAAGACCAAAGCAGCTCTGATTAGCTAGGTAGCTACGCACATCTTGGAGAACCTTTTTTCGAACAAGATGAAACGACCGATCAATTTGAAGCTTCCTTGTCCTAAGAAGGAGGCACGATAAAATCGTAACTCTTCGTCATTCGGTATGCTTCACAGCCTTGCTATCAGCAAAACGTGCCAGTGATTAGTCTCTGACCGATTTCACAAGTCTTATCATCAATATACACTCAGCGAATAAGGTCATACAACGTCATCGCCGCTGTTAGACATAGCTCCACACGCGCCGAGGGGTGTAAGCCTTTTTTAACCTCTCAGCAGGGCTTGCAATAAGCCGTTCACCACGCACGCCCGTTTTCTAATTACCAACCATTAATTGGCTCGCAGGGGCGGCGCTTAAGCCGGGCTTACCTGTTGCTTTGTGAGCTTCCTACGAAGATGTCGACCACGGGTTCGGGGTAGACTCCGTTCACCAGGCACGTGATGTTCACCTGGTGTCGCGCCGGCTTGGTGCTGGTGAGGTTCATCCACTGGGCCGGCGCTGGTGGGTGAGGGGCGAGAGGTCATGTGAGGTCACACGGGTCACCGGGTTAGGTACGCTGGGTCGTCATTTCGCGCGAAAGTTGCCGAGGTGTTTGTTGATTGGCGAGTATTTTGTAAGTTGTCTGCCTAGTTAACATATGTTGTATGCTGATGAGCTAAGGTGCAGACAAGGTGTGCGATGCGTGATGATTGGCATGATTCCCATGGCTTGGATGCAACAAAAAGGAAGACGTTGATTGGAGGTGGTCATGGTTAAATAGCTAGGCATAAAACATTCATGTTTGTGGCATTCGATTTCACACTCAGCTTTTTTTAAATCTTACGGGAAGTTTGAAACTTCTCAAAGTGAAGCTCAGCGTAAGGTATATCACAGCGTCCCATACATTTGAAAAGTTAGATACCCGGTCCCCGGAATTTCTCGCCTTCCCGTCGAGATTTTGTGTGATATTTCACAGACTTCAACATCAAAGCATGAGCGTGCTTATATCCATTTGTCATATCGCTGCGTAAAATGGATGAGAAACAAATATCATGATTTGATGTGAAATTGGTTTATATGTTATACGTGCTTGGACTTGCTATCCCAAGTCGGTAAGTTCAAGAGGAAAAATGTTCCGAGTTTATGTTCATTTTATGACTAATCAAACGGTGGAAGTATCATGTGAATATTCGGACATAAATCTCATTTTGATATCTTGAGTTACCTAATGATGAAAAATGTTTCATGAAGTTTCATTTTTACATTTACTACAGCCTTGTACATCAAAGGCTGACGACATAAAATATGCATGGTGGAGATGCGATAGTAGATGACTGAAAATTAAAGCACGTTTGTGTTACCCGTGACTAGCTCACGACAATATGCACACCATTCTCTCAAGGATCGATACTGGCCACTCACGCTGCTTTATCGTCAACCGTGTAGAATATTTACTAATTAATACTTAGCTGCAGGCTGCAAAGGACTCCGACAATTTATTTGCGGCATCTAAGTCACCTGTGAGAAACAATGCTGTAACTATTCAGCCCCAGTCTCTCTCGCTCGTCCCGTCTCCATGCACAATGCCAATCACACCACACAGTTCTCTGCTCGAACGGGGGTAGCCCTGCAGGTATATACTGACCGTAGATGACCATTTTCTTGGTGGCCGAGTCGACCCCCCTCCAGGTGGTGACCCGACAGGTGTAGTCACCGGACATTTGGGTCGTCGGACGCACTATCTGCACGGCGCGATGCACCTGGTGGCACACATAAAAAATGGGAAAATGTGGTTGGACAGCTCGCACCTTCTGTTCAGTGATACTGTCATTACATTTGAGGTTTTCAACTTCCGCTCGATGCTGATACTTACCACACAAGCATGGTAGGTAAGTAATTTTCGTACCCATTTCGTACCTTATGCCCCATTCCTCTCACCTTGAGCGGGTCGTCGCTAACGACATGGCCCAGGTTGACGTGCCCTCTGAGCGCGCCGAACGCCTGCGGCCGGTGACCGGGGATCCACTGGTAGACGGGCGCCGGGCTGCGGTCACGGTACCACTTGACCACCAGGCCGGCGGCGGTCCGGTCGGCCGTCTCCAGCTCGTAGTCACAGTCCAGTACCACGCTGGGCAGGGAGCCGTTCAACACCACGGCCGGCATCCGCACCCGCGAGATGTGCACGTCCGAGTAGCCTGCCGGCGGATGAAATTCGTTTAGGTTAAAATAATGCAGGTGATACTGTGATAGACTTTCTCAAAATAAAGCTCGTCGATAAAATTGAATGGATGCCATTTCCTTATAAGATAGGAATATCTCTGTTCATAAATATTTGCTGACTACCTTATACTAGCTTTTTATTTACATCAATCAAATATAAGAAAAGACGCATTGTTTACTGTGTAAGAAGCGTGACATAAATTTCGTATGCGTTTCAACTACCTGAGGGACCGGACAGTTCATATGCCTTTCGACTGCCCGGTGTAGCTTTGGGGAGGGTTGTGGTGACAGGTAGGTGGTGTCTGATGACTTTGTTTACCGCACGGTTTGACGACTGAAATCATTATCCCCATCACACTCGCGGAGAGGGGAAATGAAGGCCTTTGTTTTTGGCCAACACCACCGGTAATGGCTTCATGGTTGAAATTACATAATCGTCTTTGTCTGTCACACCATTCCCTGTGATAACGTTCCAAAGCCAATAAGAATAACAACAAGGAACATTGGAAAAATAATGCCACTGTCCCTTTGTGTGTCCCAACTTCCAATTTAACTATGCTCGTATTTGACCGGCATCGTAAGTGTTTTAGTACTTGAAAGGTCACGCATTCTAAATCCTTCGTAAAGAAGGCCCCTTTGCTCTCCAGTTGATCATGATTTAGACTTACTCCTTACTTAAGACTTAAAATGCAAAAGTTGCTCGGGCCTCTTTTATCGTTATCGCCGCGGAGCTTCTGCACCGACTGAACCCTATCTGCTCAGTGCTGACAGCTCGCGTCAAATATATCGGCACACTGTGTGTTATCTCGAAGTATATGGTCCGAAACGACCTCGTTAGCGGATGGTTACTGGAAATTCGGCTTGCTGATATCCCATTCAGCCATCGAGTTTTCTATTTAAGTCAATCTCTGCGCGATCGAGGAAGGTAGTTTTATTATCCAGATTGCTTTCGGGAAATCACTGTGCCATTCCCGAAGAGCAATGCGGCTGTTAATTAGCCTCAGTTTGAGGGCATGTTGTCAGTTTTCAGCAGATATTGGAACGATTTAGGGGTGATTTCAGGGCTGATGACCTGGACGGCGCATGTATCAAGTATGCTGAAAATCATTGCGAAGTCATTGCGAAGAAAATCATTGCGAAGAATGAGAGCATAATTCACCGCCTCATAGATAATCAGTTAAAACCTCGCTCGTTTGCCACTGGCTTATCTCGTATCTTATTCAATGAGTCTCATCAATTGAAGTTACCACTTTTTGCTCATTCATCTCCCTTGTTATTTATTTTATAGCTGACCATGCCTTGAGACTGTCTTAGACCCTGGACTCGATACCAACTATGTAGATAGCCCCGGGGCTGGCCACGGGTACAGACCCCCATTTAACTATTTTATGTCAATCCCTACCAAAGCTAACCCTGCGATCAGCTCTGGTCAGTGGGCTACTTCTATTACCGATACCAGCAGGGGCGGTCACAATGACTCACCAAGTCCACCGCCCACCCTCAGCCGGCGCGGCGGTCGGCACTTTGGCTAAACACTCCACGCGGCGCTGTTTCAGATCTACCCCTCCCCGTGTACCCCACTGCTCGCCGGGGCCATGCATCCTCCACCTAATCTGGCTAATTAGACACTCCAGAGCGATGGCCGCCGTCTGCGGTGACGACAATGGCGCTCGGCGCCGTTTGTGGCGCGTCTGCGGCAATTGTGGCACATGCGGCGCGGCCGGCGCGCCACCCTCAGCCCTCAGCTCGGCGCCCTGCGCGCGGTGTGCGGAGGATAATCAGAGGGTGGAATTATGCAGAGGAGACGCACCCCTAGGGGACGTTCAGAGGCGATTATCTCATAACTCGGAAGGCGGTATGGTACGCGCTGCTCCGCGGCGGTAGCTGTGATGAGGACTGAGGGGGCGGCGGGGTCGGAGGCCCGGGTCGCCAGTAGGGACGGGCTGGGGTCGCCAGCGGAGAGGGCAGGGGTCGCCGGCAAAGAGAGCTGGGGTCGTCAAAGGAGACGGGCTGGAAGGAGTAGAGGTGACAGATGAACATCAAATGTGGCATTGCGGGCGTCTAAGCTCCCGTCACTCCTGACAAAATATAAACACTGGTCTTTTCTCCCGAAGAGATCAGCCCACATCGTGACGTATTGTTGTTGATTTCGGTCGACAGATGATTATCCGGTCCACCGGTTTTTATTAGTGTGACTTTCCTCACGCCCCAGCTTACGCCCAGATTTTCTGCTTGGTCGCGTGACAAAACGCTAACGGCGTAATCTTTGCGACAGCAAGAGAGACATGTCTGAATGGCACAAACAGCGGGCTCCATTTGCCTTAAATGTAAACACTAAACACCCTTAACATAGAACATCGTGTAGCCTACTTACGATGCCATCGTTCCTAACTAATGCGAAATGCCGCTGGGTATGATATGTAGATAGAAGCAGTTGGTAAACGTGCAGTGCTGTAGCGCAGAAGAAGCATCGAGTTTGGCCGGCCCGGATGAAAGAAGCCGCCCACTTGGGCGGAGTCGACTGAATGCCAAATGATAAAAACTTGACTCTTAAAAAATGCTAGAGCTAGTTAATGCAAAAACAGTCACGCTATAATGCTAATGATGGTTATTATCTAACGTAATGATGATTCGTGGTGTTACACATTATGGTGTATGCGGGATTCTTGGGCGAAGTTATGTAAACGAAAATTGCACCCTTCGCAGTATCATGAAATATTTTTGATAGAAGTACATCGTCAACTTCACTCATGACCTGTGTCTTAAGACCGCCCCACACTGGACCTCGCATGCGGGTTGCGGGTTTTTGGGTTTTCGGGTTTCTTCAAAGTCAAATAATACAATCTAAGCTGAGCGACCCACACTATCATCTAACAAGCGAGTCTGCATGTTTTTAGCTTGCGAGCGACCTTCCATCGCATTCCAAAAGCTGATTTTGAGTCAACTTTTGATTTTCCTCGCTGCGAGGTCTGCGAGTTCTGCGAGGTTTGCGGGTTTTTCGTTGCAGTCGAATTTTGGTTCGTTGCGCTGGTATTGCGACTATATGTAAGTTTCTGAAGGTGTACCGGCTTCACTGCATTCATGAAGTTACCATAAGGAAACGGTCTAATCACTCTATCAATTAGTATTATGCCCGCAAACTCAAAACCCGCAAACTCGCAACCCGCATGCGAGTTCCAGTGTGGGGCGGCCTTTAGCTGCTATAGTCTCTTACACAAGGTGGATGATGTGGTGACATTGCTATCCAGCCAGTATAACAGTTGCATGGACAACTCAACTAATGCTAATGCAAAGGATGTATCGTACCGTATGATTGATGGCTTGATTTATCAAATGGCACACAAAGCGTGTCCCGATGTCATACTGTGTTGAAGCCACTTTGCGTGCCGTAACCCCAACTCTACGAAAACCTGCCCCTCCGAGTCTGCCGGAACCAGACCTGGCGTCGGCTCCCGTTACAGTATCTACGGAGGCGTCACATGGGAGGGGTAAAAACCGCCCGTCACGGGGTGTGCACTCCCGGGTAGCGGGTGCTAAATGTCGTGAGGGGGTAGGGGCTGGGTTTGTTTGCTGGTTTGGGGACACTGAATTCTTGGGTATACGGTTACCGCTTAGTTAGATAGAAAGCTGTGTGCTTGTTCTTGGTGTCAGATTCATAGCGTTATTGGATATTGCATGCAAGGGAAATTAGAAGAACTCTTGACAAAAATAGTGGGTAACAAAGCGATCGTTAAAGCAATGTTGTTTCGTAAGTTCAATTTGGTTCTTCTAAATCAAGTTCTTATCATAATTATACCTGCCTTTTAATCTGAGAGTATGGGGCTGTTACGAGATTCAGCTAATCGTCTCATAGTTCGCAGTTCGCACCTTCCCATGGCGAAACCTGTCGATTAGGAGCTCTGAAGAGGGTGATGTAAGCAAATTGACCTAATGACAGGCATTTCGTTGTTGGTTAGATTTTATCTCGCTACTTTTACGTGGATCTAAACGCTCTCCATCTCTTCATACAGCAGGTCCGCTCTTTCAACATCGGTCTTTGGCTGCTAATCTTGCATTTATAGACGGCGAAAAAATAGTGTTCACATTTGCATTGATTCCATTTTATCCTAATTTGTCTCTTCTCCACATTCTGTCAACGATGTAAAAGTTCGGTATACACGACGTATTGCACCATTAACTATATCGGCGCTGTCTACATATTTTTTACTGTGTGCAATTATCACTATCGCCAAGGAAAATAAACGACATCTGAAAGTTACAACCACATCGCTTTCATTCACAACAGAGTCAAATTCAGCCATCAACCATTGAACCCTCGCGTGCGTCCTTCCGGCCATTACGCTGCCGCTTCCCTCATTCGCCACCGTTCCTCCGCCACCGCCCACTGCCCACCACGCTCCTCCACGAGCAATAACTCATATCGGGGCCCGCGCGGACGGCCGGCGGCCGGCGGATGGGCGCTCGGACGCACCTGGATGGGCCGGGCGGCGGGCGGCGGGCAGTGCCAGCCAGCTGCGCCCCGGGGCGTGTCCCGCGTGCCGCCGGCGCCCCACCCCGCCAGCGCAGATCACAGAGGAAGGGCGGACGTCCGGCCCCACCCCGCTTCCGCTCGGCCGCGCGCGCCGCCACGGCACATCGGCGGCCGACTCAAAAGGACGCCACGCGAGCGAGACGCGATCGAATGCGAGGCTTTCTGCATGGGTGAAATCGAACGGGAGTAGAAAGCTGACATGGTTTGTGTGAAAGGATAAATGGGGTGCCAAACTAACTGTCAATCATTCGTCATAGATTGTCTAATGTCTGGTGAAACATTTAAAACCGACGCTGCTCCTACGGTATAATAATTTTTTTTTTTTTAAATTAATGTGTTCAGTAGGGTGTGTCGATAGTCGCAGATTCGCGTTAGACAAAGATATGAATTGGCGCGAGCATGCCAAAACACTAGCCCTGCAGTTGGTTTTGCGTAAAAATGCGATTTGACGGGGCTCGGGCAGGTCAAAGTTACAGCGAAAAAGTCGCAGTCGACGGTGCTGCCACCTACATTGCCAATAATGGGAACTATCATATCGTGATAATTGGGGTAGTTTCAAATGAGAAATGACTTCTATTTTTGTTCATACTGCTTAAGAAGAAATAAAACAATTCGGAAACATACATTTTTCCCAAATATCGCGTTCCATTTTTCCTGTTGAGTTGTTAGGAAAGTGGTAAATTTCAAGGTTGACGGCTAAAAAACGAAACAGGAGGAACAGAGCAGGAATCACCAAGACGTGTGCCGCGCCGATGCTGTAGATAAGGGGTGAGCAACAGAACCAGCATACCTAACGATTTTGATTAGTGATAGATATTTTTCTCTAAATGTAAGACTATTAGTAACTCAGGCAAGCCTTCTAATACCTATAGGTATCGACAGGGTTGCGGTAAAAGGTACAATCGATGGCACATTACAATTATTCTGAGTTGGGTAACAACATTCTTCAGATGCCTACCATCAACAACCTCACTGTCTCCTATATGGGAGCTATATCATCTGATTCCAGAGCCCTGAAAACAAACAGGTTATCACCAAAAATCTCTGTATTAGCGCCTACCGACATATGCTGAATGACGCTATCAATACCCCACATTTGTAAAAGGTGATTCGCCACACAGCCCGCCGGTGTCTGAGGCCGCATAGACCCGGGAACAGGGGGGGGGGGGCAGCGGGGGCGCTTGTCCCCCCCCCCCAACTTGGGAGCCGAGGGGGCGGCGCCCCCTCAACATTGAGGCAGCGAGAAAAGGTCTTTCCTCCCTTTTCCGGACTTCTTTCCTTCTTGTTTCCTTTATACATACATCTAAACATCAACACGCGGCATTTTCCTTGCCATCTGAATGGTTTCTGCTGATAAAGTATCGATTTGACAACATCTGCTATTGTCATCCCGCTTTGATTTGGGCCTGACCTTGGCCATAAGCTTGGCAGGCCAGTTTTATACTGGACCATTTTCAGTCAACTTTGAGAAATGCATAACGTACAACGGTGGTAAAATAGTTGCTATAGGTATAACACAGTTTACCCGCTCCGGGTGTGAGGGAGGGGTGTGGGGCAATGAGTGCACTGACGTGGCGCCCTCGGTATGGGATGGGATGCATGGGATACATTAGAGGGCCGGTATGGGATTAAAGCTCAGCGACACTAAGGGCTTATGTGGTGCCTTCGGTTATCGGCAGCACCCTCAGAATCACCGGCATAGGGCGCTCAGAGCCGCCGGTAAGGGGCCTTTAGAGGCACCGGTGTGGGGCCGTTATGCAGGTGCCGGTGTGGGCGCTCAGAGGTGCTAGTGTGATTCTCTCAGAGGCGCCGATGAGGGTCCTTACAGGCGTTGCTGTGGGCCCTCATAGACGCTGGTGTGGAGCCGTTACAGACGGGTGTGGGGGCTTTAGAGCTGCTGACGCGAACTCTCTACAAGCCGGCAAGCGGTCTCAGTGACCGGCAAGGGGTCCTTAGGCCGCCAGAAGAAGTTCTGTGGGGTCCTTAGAGACCGGCATGGTACTGTCAGACGCCGGTGGGGCCCTCAGACTCACCGATGTGGGACCCTCAAAAGTCACCAGTGGGTGGCCTTCAGATGCACAGGTGTTGGTTGGGTCCTCAACGCCGATACAGGGCTTAATTTTAATAGGCACTGGTGTACGCACTCAGAGTTGGGGGTGTGAAACCCTCAGACACCGGTGTGGGCCCTCATAGGCGCCAATGAGGGCCCCATAGTTGCCGTTATGGGGCCCTCAGAAAAATAAGTGTGGGACCATCACACCTGCGGGAAATGCCCCTAGAACTGGCCCCTCATAGGCCGGTAAGGACTCTCAGAGGCCAGTAACGGGCCTTTGGAGACCACCGAGGTGCCCTGAAAAGGCGCAAGAGGCGCTCAGAAGCCGGCGTGGGCCCTTATGGAGATCTTAGTGTGGCTATTTAGGGCCCATGAGGTGCTCTAACGAGCCCCATGGGGCGTCAGCGGTTTGACCTTCAGCGGTCAAATGGCGCCGCAGGGCCCCTCGAACCCGAAGGTCCCTTTGAACCCGATGGGGGGGGGGGGTACGTGTCCCCTTAGACCCCTAGCTACGCCACTGTTTCATATGCATCATGTCAGGTATTTTAGGCTTGCCCCCCAACTTGAAAATCGTTCCCGGGCCCCTGTCTGAGGGGTTGAATCAGTGAGCCAGATTGCCAGCGACTAACCGCTGAACTACCGGGCATAACAAAACGGACGATGCGACATGACTCAGAGATCATCACAGACGCAACGACAAATGTAACCGAAGGCCATCTGAGCTCGTGCGGAACCCTCGTTCAGATACGTGATATCGCTATCTGCCACCTCGCAGTTCCCTTGTCAAGCCGAACTCATAGGCGGCGGAACGGGGAGGGCACCGCGGCACCGTTCCCCCTTTGATTTTGGCATTTTAACATTAGCCCTATGGGCGTTGCATGGAAAGAATGGGACCAAAAGTCGGCAGTGCCCCCCTTAATTGAAGGTATTCCGCCGCTACTGGCCGAAATGATGACACGCAATGGCCAGTCAGTCACAGCTCAGCTTCGGAACAGGAAAACACATTCAGTGAGAGTCGGTGGTCATTGACTGTGTCAATATTATTGACACGGTGACTAAAGAGCGGTTATATTGCGCCAATAATGTTGCCAGTAGCAGCACCACCAATCTTTTGAACTAAAATCACTTGACATCGGTGAAAAGAAACCCTCTAGCTTTTTCTTCAAGCAATACGCGAAATAGAGGGGATTAGAAAAACCAAAAACCCAAATATTAGCACTAGATAACATCGATCTTAAATTTTGGCCAACATTCTTAAAGCATACATCAGAGGAGCTGTTGGCGGCTTACCGTCGCGTCTGTGATGATCTCTGAGTCATGTCGCATCGTCCGTTTTGTTACGCCCGGTAGTTCAGTGATGAGTCGCTGGCAATCTGGCTCACTGATTCAACCCCTCAGACGCCGGCGGGCTGTGTGGCGAATCACCTTTTACAAATGTGGGGTATTGATAGCGTCATTCAGCATATGTCGGTAGGCGCTAATACAGAGATTTTTGGTGATAACCTGTTTGTTTTCAGGGCGCTGGAATCAGATGATATAGCTCCCATATAGGAGATAGTGAGGTTGTTGATGGTAGGTATCTGAAGAGTGTTGTTTCCCAACTCAGAATAATTGTAATGTGCCATCGATTGTACCTTTTACCGCAACCCTGTCGATACCTATAGGTATTAGAAGGCTTGCCTGAGCTAATGGTCTTTCAAATAGAGAAAAAAAGTCCTTCACTTATTAAAATCGTTAGGCATGCTGGTTCTGTTGCTCACCCCTTATCTACAGGCTACAGCATCGACGCGGCACACGTCTTGGTGATTCCTGCTCTGTTCCTCCTGTTTCGTTTTTAGCCGTCAACCTTGAAATTTACCACTTTCCTAACAACTCAACAGGAAAAATGGAACGCGATATTTGGGAAAAATGTATGTTTCCGAATTGTTTTATTTCTTCTTAAGCAGTATGAACAAAAATAGAAGTAATTTCTCATTTGAAACTACCCCAATTATCACGATATGATAGTGCCCGTTATTGGCAATGTAGGTGGCAGCACCGTCGACTGCGACTTTTTCGCTGTAACTTTGACCTGCCCGAGCCCCGTCAAATCGCACTTTTACGCAAAACCAACTGCAGGGCTAGTGTTTTGGCATGCTCGCGCCAATTTATATCTTTGTCTAACGCAAATCTGTGAGAAAAACCCCTCTGTCGACACACCCTAGTTCAGTGATCTGTGTACTTATTCTAGGGATAATACTCCTGAACAATAATTTAAATTAATTCATCTTTTTTATGATATCATCATTATCGGACTATAAATCCTCCAATATTTACTCACCTGTTACCGCTCCGATCACCGTGCCAAATATCGCGATCAAGATGCACGATCTCACGACGACCTCCATGTCTCTCCACACACCGATCACCGCATCACATTCCTAGCCGCGTCACTACTTCCGGCCTCGTGACGTCACTGAACACCAGGACGGTCCTGTCACGACAATGTCACGCACTCGTCACGGACTCGTCACGAAAGCGACATGGATCCCTCACGACACCTTCACGGTCACCGTCACGAACGACGAAACAGTAATGCGTTCACGGCTGAGGTCGTGGTGAGATGTTCGTGATGGCACGTTACGATTGTATCAGGGTCGCATCTGCACTGAAGGCTGACTCACAGTCTTCTGCCGTTGCTCCTGTTGGTACTGTTACACCGGGAGATATATTGCCTCTGCCAGAAGTCGAGCTGGTTTTGTTCGTTGTTATTCTTCTGCCGTCCTGCGCCGTCAGAAAAACCGCCTCTGCCGTTTCCGTTTCTGCCTTGGTGATCACTGGCTGTGGTACAGCTGCTGATGTGTTTGCAGCGCTGTTTTCTGGGCACGTGCCGATGTGTTTCAGGTCCAGCGCGCCACTGCCCTGTCAGCACACCTCTCTCGACTGTCGACGGTGAACGGTCGACGGCGGTTGGTCGGTGGGCCCGTCGGCCGGCACGTTCCCGTGGTACTGGTCGGTAGCTCGTGCCGGCCGCCCCCGGCTGGGCTGCCCGGCCGCGCCGCTAGCGCCGACCGCGGCCGGCCAATGAAACTGGCCACAGCTCGACAATTTGGGGTGAATGTGGGGCCAGGGAAAGGGTACAGTTTACTATGGGGCGTCCGTAGGCTAAGAAGGCTGCCGTATTTTATTGTATCTCAAAACTCGGGCGAATATTATGAGTGACAAACGCTGTTTACCGGCTTTATGTTGTGCATTTAGCGGTTGTGATTTTTTTTCTGCTAGACATCCATCTGGGGCCAAGGCTTGTAGCTTCCCGATTGCGAACTCGCAGCCACCGTTTTACAAGACACACGCCGTCCACTAGGCGACCAGCTGAGGTATAATTAGACTTCCTTGGTTTTTCATGTGCTCTGATGCGACACAGATAGGTGGTCATCTTTTAAGAGAAGCCTTGAATGTGATGAACGCTCCAGTTTCAAGCAAGGTAACTGAAAAAACGAGCGTATTTTCAAGTTATCCAGCGACGCAATGCAACTTTAAGCATTGCTATTCTGCACCGACTAAATTCTATCGCCTCTGCGCTATTTGGCTCAATAGCTTTCAATATTTTTTTTGTGTTTGTTTAAACATGTTTTTTTTAACATGTTTTTTCAATGTTTTTGAACATAAATCCGCGTGCGATATATATTCTTCTGTGGTGAATATCGGATAGTGAGACTGACCGATCAGTACGTTTTTCTTCAACGTCCCATGTCCATGCCATTTTTGCTGCGGCGGGCTCAAAGCGAAAACGTAAGCATTTGCAGTGCAGTAAACGATTGCAACAGCCGAAAATAGTGATATTTCCTCCTGGAAAGTGATTATACCCACTATTTTCAATCTAAATTCACCTTGCCCTCCTTAGGTACTGCCGAGTGCCGACAGCATTTGCTGAGCTTATCTGCGCTGGCCTGAGAATGCGGTATCCAAACCGCTAACTGTCCGCTCTAAAAACACCACCGAGGCGGGCCGAACCCGATCTCGGCCCGGGCAAGGCCGGTCCGAAGACAAAAACGGCGCAGACCACCAGCGGCGCGGCGCTTAAAGCGACGCACCGCGGCGCGTGACCGCCTCTTTTGTCACGCGCTGGGGCTCGTCACGACACGGCTGTCCTCTAAGGTGTCCACAAGCACCTCGCAGGTCAACACACAGGTGTCGCCACCCGTAATAATTTCTTTTGGGGGTGCAAAGTGTCATGCAAGGGGCGGGATGTATTGTGAAGCTTTGGTCCAAGAAGCGTGACTGCGATGCATTATGTTTAATTCGTTTGTTTCTATAATTCGCTTGCATGCCTCATTTTTTATTTGCATGTGCATGTTATGCTTTTTTTGGCGTGCCATTCCTGCTGCCCCTTTCATTTCACAAAGTTTTTGTTTGTCTAAGTGGGATGGTGTTTAATCATGGTAATTACCACCTTGGTGATTGCTCACAGTGGTAATTATAGGGTGAATGCTTATCTATAGCGCTAATATACTTCACTAATAAGGTATTGCTTATGGTTGTTGGCATTTTTTAGAGACAACAAAATATGTGAAATTCGTGCTTAAAAAAATCCTTACTGATATGTCGCGCTTCGAGAAGTTTATCAAACATCTTTTACCTTCAACCAACTGCTGTTACACATCGATATACGTAATGGTAATTCGTATTTATTCACCCTAATCGTCATCTATTTAACAGTGCTTATACATATTCAAGGCACGTTTGCAGTAAGCTGTCCCCGCCCCTCCATCTGTATAGCTCCCAGCACTTCAACTGGCGCCTGATTGGCGCCTGATGCCACTCACCAACAGTGAAATGCCATCCATCCCATGGGACAGGTGGCCCATTCCGGCAGAGCATTCCACTCTGAACGTCCGATCCTACATACGAGTACTATCGGCTCTGCAGAGCGTCAATCTCGGCGCCCATCGTTCCATTCAGCACGTCATTGTCCCCCGCTCTGCACTGTGCTGTGCAGTGCACACAGACACACAGACAGACAGACAGACAAGGGGCGGTACCCAGCCTGGATTTGGGCCCTGACCGTAATGGGAGGAGGGATCGACTGACGGGAGGAGGGGCGCACTGGTTCAGCCGGAGGGGTGGGTGGGGAAAGGGTTTGACACGGGATAATATTGGGGAGGGGGTGCCGCTGCAAGCCTTTCGTCCTCGCTCTGGTCGTGAACATGAGTTCTTATGCATTTTGTTCTCATGTTGTTACGTTGTTTCGTGATTTTACTGTTTCAATGCGGCGTATTGCAGTGGATTCGCACACTCTTGGCATTGCAAATATAATCAACCCTTCTCACGGTTGTAAACTAGAGAGCTCGCGCGTCCAATGCCATGAGAAACAATGTCCGACTTGACCTAGGAACTTACCTGAGATTTTTCACTCATGAATCTACTTAAGATAAGCAAACTGAATACGAGGCACATTTGGGTCTGTGATATGAAAGCGTTTCGTCTCTCAATAAGCGACAGGTCGCCATTTATCTATCATGCTAAAAAACCATCACGGGCCGTTCGTTTAGCCGTTATGCCGGTCCTTGCCGTTCGGTTCCTCTTCCTGACACGGGTGGAGAATGTTTGAAAAAGTTACCCCGGCCGGCGACCGAAAGTCAGAAAGACGATGATGCTCAAATATTTGTCAACGGTTATCAAAAAAACCCTATTCTGTGGCATAGAATAATGGATGTCTGTCTGCCGTTTGTACCTACGTTTTTAGGGAAAATTGCTGCACGCAGGTGCGGAAGATTTCGTAATTGTAACAACAATTTTGCAACACGCCTTAAAATTTCGGACGCATGTCACCCAGTGCTAGGTCAGGTCATCAGGTCAAATTTGATGGATGATCGTGCTAAAAATGCCATCATGCCCTTTGCAAAGCTTATTCCGTGGAAGTTGCAACCTTCCCACACAAAACAAAATGTCAAATTTGACCGTTTTGACCCTCTTATTGATTTGAGCTCGCACCTGAAATATTATTCGCGACCGAGCCTTAAACGAGTAATCGAATGTTTTGTTTGCAGTGTTTAAGCTCCGTTATGCTCATGAACTGTGAGAAAAGTTGTCGGAGAACGCTAAAATCAGAGAAATTTGGCTTTTGATGATCTATGGTGATTTTATTATTGAGCTTGCCTAAAACATGACCAGGGCCTCGTTTCATAAAGCGAGTCCGTAACTTACGCCGGTTTTTGGGCTTGTATTGCAAGCGCACGTGAAGCGATAAATTTATTTTCCCTTCTCTCTTCTGTTCTTGCTTGCAAGATAAATAAATTCATCGATTCAAACTATCGTCATCGCTTCACATGCACTTGCAATACAAGACCAAAAACCCGCGTAAGTTACGGACTCGCTTTATGAAACGAGGCCCAGATTTCTCTGATCACGTTTGTCGCTCTTTCAAACGTCGTTCCGCTTCTCGCCTCGTAGCCCAGGAGCCGAGTTAGAAGGAGCGTGAAAAGACCACCTCTCGACTCAACGTGTTACGATAAGGCCACCACCCTGGCGCGGGTTAAGTTGGGGGAGCCTTGAGCCCCAGCAGCTCATCCTTCTATCTCACTGATATTAGGTACCCTCGTCCTGTCTTGTGATGTTATTACAGTGCCATCTTACGACAACGGCCCTTAAAAATGATTTACTTCTGTTTGATGAAACATGTCGGGCTCCGCGATGAAAAGACTTAAAAACATAGAAGCTCCAAAATGAAAATAAAGTAAATTTTCAAGAACTTTTCAAGGTAGATAACAATAATGAGAGACGCTTTTATAGATGGCATTTTTTCGTATGGAGACATTTTTAGGATTTACAGAAGTGGAAAAAGTTACCCCGGCCACGCCGGGGTCGGCTGAAAGTTACCCCGGCCACGGCCGGGGTGGCCGGGGCAGGTTCTCCACCCATGCTTCCTGAACCCTCAGTCGCGGCCGGCCGTGTCTCTCCGTCCGCCGGCCGTACCGGTTCGATCCATCTTGTGCAGTGAGGCATTCACTGCGGCGGCCGCCGACGCCCTTCCGCGACCAGTCATGCCATTAGTGGAGGTCGCGATGGCACGATACTGACGCGACGCAGCACCTCCGCTGGACGAACGCCCGTGATCCGCCACCGGCCGAAGAAAAATGAACTCGTCCGGAAAGAACATGGGAATATCGCTACCGAATATGTACATGAGCTGATTGGGCCTCGGAGGCTATCGAAAAGTGTCAGCTCGACGCCGATAACGCGTTTGTCTTTCGCTGGGCGGGAGGGCTCCGGCCCGGCGGCAGTTTGGGGCGCACTTTGCTCGTCATGGAGGGCGGGGTTGACCGTGACCAAGGCAGCGGAGAAGAAATGTGCAGTCGGACTGCCGGGGCAGATTCAGTAATGCGCCGGTATCCAATTAGTGGTTGACTGCAGGGCGGCCGTCAATGCATTCATAGCTAACAGCAGTGGCACTGATGCTTTGATGAGGCCACAGTCGCTGATGTGGGCCCTAAGGGGCACTATTCAGTGGAGATGGATAGGCATGTTATCACGAACCAAACCGCCCTGCGTAATGATACAAATTTTAAGTCATGAAGGCCAGGGATTAGTAGGTGCCCTCGCTGGAAAGCATGTGCTCATGGCGTTGCGGAAATGCAATTAGAGTTCACAGTTCCTCTGACCGATATAAAATACACGTGAATATAAGTTACTGGGTTTCCCCTTTTATCTTGGCGTGCTGCTGTAACCCATTTGACTGATTTGATCATCTCAGTCTTTCGATTAAAGGGACCCTCCCACCTTAACATTAGATTTGAGTTGAGATAGCCAAAATGGGGTCCCTGGCTCACAATTACCGGTTTCGGCACTCACAACATCGAGAAATGCCTTAAATCGGAAATATTGAATTTCAAAATTGCAGCATTTTGATTCAGAGGGGCTAATGCTTAGGAATACCCCTCTGAATGTGTGACGTCAGCGCAAATATCTAACGATTTCTAAATGTTTGACTAAAACGTTTTGTAGCACGCGG